CTGGAGCACCCAGAGCTGCATACGACTTGCTGTGATGCTGGTGAAATCAGCTCAGATAAATTGGGATGATTACATGAAAATGAGCATTGCTTCCACTACTTTCAGGAGTAAAAAGAATAAATCTGCATAAAAAGTGAAAGACCAGCTCTGATGTGCTTGCTCCCTTCTACACTTCTTTACAGGCAAATCCGTGACACTGTACACTGGATGTTCAGTGAACCGATGCTGGTTTATTACATTGGTGTGTTTCGAGATGCTTTTTGGCCAAATGGAAAGTTAGCACCACCACTGAGAGCCAAGAGCGACGAACAAAAGCAAGAGACAAAACAGAGAGCACAGCAAAAACTACTTGAAAACATTCCAGGTGAGATCACTTTCATTCTGCTTAATCATGGATTTAATAACTGGTAAGGAAACTGGTTAATCAAATACTGTTCTGCTGCATTTTAATTTTTTTCCTGTAGAGTTGTAAATTATGGTTATTTGCATAAATAAGGATAATTTTGGCCTTACTCTTTGCCTCTCCTGTCTGTCTGGTAAAGGGCATGGATTGGGGTATTATTGGTGGATGCAAAATCCGGTATCACTGTATACTTCTGTACGTATTCAACAAGGAACCTAAGGCAAGCCTTTCTCTGCTGGTTTTCTGCAAGCAAACACCAGGTGGTTCTGCTACCTGGAACTGCTTGACAGATAGGGAGAGTGGCACCACCCCAGTTACTTCTTCCTCTTACATTTCAAAATTGAAGAGGGAGGTCTACCCAGGCTGTCAGTGTTGTGTGTTGCTGTCTGTTTCTGATAAGAGCTTTCAGAGCAGTAGAGGGACCTGCAGCCTGGACAGAGGCATCCTAGGTCGAGTGGGGTTTCCAGTACTGTCCTTTGCCTGCCCTTGCCTCCCAAGCCCAGGCAGCTTCCTCTTCAGCATGCATGTTTCTGGGGCACCATTCCGAGATGCTCCATCCCGTCCCGTTCACAGGGCAGGGAGTCCAGTTACAGAATTCTGACTCCAGAGATCACGTAAACCCAAAGGTACCTAACTGGGAAGAACCAAAATTTGTTCCCTTTAGCCCTTGGAAATGCACTTAAACAAAGCTTGAATGCTTTTTATCTCCCCTCCATCTGAATAGAATGTACTTTAATGAGCTGTTTTATGGCTTCACTGAGATCTCATATACCCTCTTGCATTAGGTTGTTTAATCAACTTCTACTGCAAAAATAGCAGCAGGTATGCATGCAAAATATTCATGATTTGATGTGTAAACAACCGTCCATTTACTCTCTGTTATACTCACCTACTTGCCTAGAACAGCCTTCCATAGTTGGTTTGTGGTTTTCTTTCTTTGTTTCTGAGTTTGGAGAGAGATGTCAGCACATAGCTGAATGCACCTTAAATTAATGATGAAGCATTGTATCACTATTTATACTCTAATTTAATCCAAAATGTAAACAATTGACTTAGAATTCTCTTATCTGCTTACTTGTGGGAAGTATTTTCTGTGAAGACTGAGAGGCAATTAAAGTGCTAAATCTGTTATAACTGTTGTAGGAATTCTGTCTTTGTGGCTGAAAGTGTATTTAAGTGAATGGTTTAATGATGTATGAGATAAGACTTTGCGAGGTGAACTACCTAAAAGGCATACTATATATCACGTTAAAACACTTTAAATGTTGTCATCGAGATGCACACGCTATTATTTAACTGGAGAATAAGGGTATCTTTTCAACCTGTGACCCGAGTTACCTCTGTGTTTTAAAGGTTGGTGAACAGGGACTGTGTCCCTTGTAACCGAGGGCCATGAAGTGCAGTGGTTTTGCTTCCCCTCCTTCATGGGCAGTAGTGTCAGCTGGAGGGTTTGCCTAGCGTGACTGAAACAATATAAGCTGAAGTAAGGTTTGTTGCAGATACGCTGCAGAGTCTTGTTGGACAACAAAATGCCCGTCATGGTGTAGTGAAAGTGTTCAATGCGTTGCAAGAAAGAAAGGCTAACAAGCATCTACTCTACGTGAGTAACCAGAAAAGTAGCCTTTTAACTTTATAATCCTGTTAATTGCTGAGCTCTGCTCACTCAATATTAAAGCCTGGGGTGTGTGTTTTTGCAGAGATTTATGTTGGACTACTGTTCCGTGTGCAAGCAACTTTTATTATTAAGTCAGAAAAAGACGTACTTGGTTCCATCATTTGACTAATTTTGAATCACAAAAAGCTGTTCAAGTTTAAAAACAGTATCGCTTTTGTCTAAAAGAGATCTTCTGCCACATCCAACTTGCCTGACTCCATAAGGTGCAAACTAATTTCTTCATATAGCTGAGAAAAAGAAACGTACCTTGTAGAATCCTAGGGAAGGAGAGCTCCAGGACATGACAGCCCTCCCGAAGTCCCGCTCCTCTACGGCTGGTCGGGACCGGTCGGAGTATGCAGCTGGATCCAAGTACAACACCTTCACACTCGGTCTCTTCTGGCTCATTTCCTTCAGCAGCCAGTCACGTAACGCAGCCTCCACACAGGAGCGGACGCAGCCCGCTCGGGAGGCGCGTGCCCTGGTGCTTGCTTGGGTAGCCTCCGCGGCTCTGACAGAACAGCGCCAGTTTATACGGGGTGAGAAATCCCCATCTGAAAGCTGAAGCTGCCCGCGGCACTTGCCTTCTTTCAGCCTTCAGGCATTTCCCATGTTATCTGTAGGGCGCGTGCTAACTTTAGGATGAAAGAAAAGTAGTTGCATGAATGATGAGTGGAATGACCCTACGTGCTTCTGTTACCTGTGATGCTCTGAACATGTCAGAAAGGAAAGAGAAATTCTCATTTGGCACCCGCGCTCATGTTAACTCTCTTCTGTTTTTCAGGTTTTGCTGGAACTGCTGCTAACTGAACTGTGTCCTGAGCTCAGAGCTCATTTAGAGCAGCTTAATGCCACTTAGGTTTGAAACTGCACAATTGGACCACTAGAGAAATGTCTATGTCCAATAATAGACATGAAACTTATTTCCTCTTTTCCGTAGAGGGCTGAGGACTATGATTATTTTTAGCGCTTTTCTTTCCTCTTGAGTTTTTTGTGAAGTAAACAGACTTGAAAAGATCTGATGCTGTAGTAGGGTAGACAAAACAATGCTGTATAGTTGCCAATTTTTATTTAAATTGTTCTATTTGACTACTCTTCTGTTTCAAATATAGATTGAAAAATAAATGTTCATACAAGCTGAAAGAAACCAGAAAATATTTTAAACATTTATGTAAAGAAGTTTTGCTTATAGTGGTAAACTAATGAATGTTGTACAGTTCTAATCTCCTCACTGAGGATTTGAGCATTCCTTTTTTTCTTGTGTATTGAAAAAGCCTTGTCGTGCAATACTACATGTAAAGCTATTGTGAAAATTTTATCAATTTTGTTTTTACCAAAGATTTCCCGTAGTTTGAAGCATTTGTAAGCAATAAATAACACAACTGGATTGCAGTACTTGATAATGAGGCTGTTGTGACAACTAACGAATGAGTTTGACAGCGCTGGTTTTCTAAGGAATATTTACGTTACTTTGAAGTCTGTGTCGAAAATATGTATTGTAAACTGGTATGTCCTAACAGAATGCCTGTGTTAAATGTTAGTTCAGAGATTAGTGCTTATGAATTGCTTCTATGAATGATTAAGTAGACATTTAATTAAACCGTTCTAATAACTTCCCTGATACTACTCAGGGCTGTTTTATTCAAATACCCCAATTTCAAACAACCTTCAAATCTTTCCCTTATTTTATACAAGGAAAGAAAACGATGTCTTCAGTGTTTTTTTTTTTATTTATGTAAAAAAATATGTAAATATGATCTTAATGCACATCTAAATAATTAAACATCATAAAAAATCCCTAGGTGACACTCATTACTTTCTTTTAAATTCAGTACAGTTGTGCTCTTAGAAAAACTGCTTGCAGTTAAGACTGGCTATACTGTAAGGTACATAAAATGCATATGCTATATTTAGATCAGTGTTTTTAGTAACAACTAACCTTCTGTTCCAACAGTTTCAAAAGAGTTTTCAAGTCACGGCACACTCCTAAGAAGCAAGCCAAATTCTGCATATACGACGTTTTACAAGTAAATAGGTACTTAGAAATGTGCAAGCTTACCATAGCAATCAGTAAAAATTACTAGTGGTTAATCAAAGTATCATTTGATAAAAGATTCAACATAACATTGCTCAGACATACACACTCCTAGCCAAAAGGTTTTCAACTATTTCTAATACAAACAGAGGCAGTGTAAATGCAATAAGAAGGAGGATTGAGGAGAACAGGCCTTGTGCAGAGGACATGTATATCGAATGTTTCCATACTAATGTTGGTTTTTTTTTCCCAATAGTTCTGTAAGTTGTGTTTTCTAGTTTTAGAAGTTGACATGGTTTGAACTGTAAAGCTTAGTGTCATACAGGCCAATTTCCAACTTTAAATCTCTGCAGTCTGAGAGTAAAATATGTTAAGACATATAAGTAGATCTAGATGCATTAGAAAAGCATGTGAAAGAAAGTATGCACACCGCTAACAAAGGTAAGATTTAAAAATTGTCATGACCTGTGAATGGGTTGTATGTGAAAACCAGGCAAGTTTGGGTTCAAGCTTTTCAGAATATTAAAATGTAATGTTTAAATACTAAAAGTGCAGAAAAGGGAACAACCATTTTTATTTGGTTTTGGTTTGATTCATGTGCTATATAGCAGTATAACATGAAGAAAACATAGGACATCTGTCCCAGTAAAATGTCCTTAATAAACTTTAAGTCTTCAATACCATTTTAAAAAGCCTGTCTTTGCCTCATCTCAGTTAAAGGACGAGTGTGAGCTTTTTGCTTTCTCTCTTTTTTTTAGATAAAAAAGAATCAGTAAATTGCTTTAAGTAATAATTTATAGAAGGTTGAAAAGCAAGCGGTAAGTGATGAACAGTCTGTAATTGCTGGAGATTAAAGATGGTTTATTGTAGGAAGTACATTTGTATACCAGGCACAGTTAAAGGAAACACTAAATTCTCCCAAGATTAGCTGCCAGTTCAAGGTCAGAAGCAACAGCAGGATCCAGAAGGCATGCCTTTGAAAACAAAGAACAGGGAGTTGGAGTTTATAGCTAAAATAAAATTGTATGTTGTCAATGTAACATTAATAAGGTTTTTAAGTTTTATTGGCATTATCTGGGATAATCAACTTGTTAAAATATTAGAGAGTTGAATATATTCAGCTTTAAATCCCTGTTTCTGATGCCACATAAGAAAAATTCAGTATGTGAAATGAGCATACTTGACTATAGTGTTAGGCTTGGTTTTATTTTTTTTATTCTGTTTGTTGGTATGGCATGTCCTGGCACCACAGTCAGAAACATACATCTGCTTACAGACTGGATCAGTTTCATTCACTTCCATCCTCTATTTCAGTACCCTCTGGGACACCCATCTTCTCTTTCTCACCTCTTTTAAAACTGACTGGGTCTAAGGATGGTAGGCCAAAACTGCAGGTGAGCAGTTAGTTAATTAAAAAAGCAAACATGATTTTAATTTTAAGTGGGTATAACTGTACAGTTAACATGAGAATTATTTTCCAGGTACAAAAGAAAATGAACACACCCACAACTCTTTTATTTGTTCTCAAGTTACTGCTTCAGGTAGGACATTCTTCTAGAATGATTTTTTCAGTTTGAGAGAATGACAGACTGCAAATCAGTTGGGGATAAAATTATTCAAATTGTATAACTAATTTATCTTGCAAGTTACCAAGCTCTTTGCTGTGGTGATTATCACAGGGTTTTTTTCTTTTTTTTTTTTTTTTTTTTTTTTGTTTGGCAGAATGCATTGTTTCCTTAAGCAAGTGGGTAGATAGTATCCTTTCAAGACTATTTTAAGTAGTTTTCAATATACTCTTATCACTCTTCATTTTCTTCCACAGCTTTTTTTCTTTTTTTTTTTTAACATAAATAATGTTGGAGTCTCTAACCAAACAGCAAGTTTGAAGACTCAAATCCAAGGTATCACTCAATTTCATGAGATGTAAATTAGTCTGTAAGACTTTCCCAGCTTACCTTAGAATAGTATTTCTTAGCAGCGGCTTGATCTTGCTGTACTCCTAGGCCAAGCTGGAGGCACCTAGCCAAGTAGAAAGCAGCCATAGCAACCCCCTTGGCTACATATGTAGGAAGACAATCAGTTATCTTTGCTAGTGTATTGATGTCGTCATTTTCTGTAATCCTGTTGTGGAATTTACAGCATTAGGTTAGATAATCTATTTCAAGCAATAATTTAAGTTGACCATATATGACTGGACAATGCCTCCTTTCCATTTATATCATTATCTAAAATAAGCTGCAATTTACATGTATTCAGCAGCCTGATGATTCTTATATTCACTATTTGATTTGAAGTTACTCTTAGTTGAATATTGTGATATTAAATAGTAAATAAATATGTAACTTTTACAGTCACTTCCACTGTAGTTATACTAGTTATAAAAGGCAGCATATTTTATGCTAATTATTCCTATTAAAATATTTCATGGAAATTAATATATATGTGGAAGAAAGGCAAAGCTCTTATTTCCTATAACTGAGCAACCTCATCTAGTGGAAGATGTCCCTGCCCACAGCAGGGGGGTTGGAGCTAGGTGATCTTGAAAGGACCAACCCAAACCATTCCATGATTCTAAGATTCTAAAATTCCAAGTTCTTACTAGGATATTGGCAAACCATAGTAATCTGAAGGTCTTGGACATACATGAGAGCCTCAAGTTATAACACCCACTTACGACGACCACTTATGACTGTTTCAGCTTGATTATTTTCTTTCTTCTGCATGCATCTGCTTGCTGTAACCTTATTTTCAGCATGTTGTTTTTACTAAGAACCGTTTTAAGAACCAGAGGGACTAAGCAAATGTTGTTTTAACTATCAGGCTATAATTACCTAGTATTGTTCCTATATTATTAGGTACAACATTTTCTAAGTGGGAATTGATTTTTTTTTTTTTCCTAACTGTTGTCTTAAAACAGAAACCCCCAAGCCCCATATCCTTTCCAGATACCAAACAGTAATTACATGCTTCTTCACACATCATTTTAGTTTGTTGTTGTGTCAAATAGTCACAGACTTGACAGAAAAAAGAGAAGTGCAAGTCATTTCAGTTTATAGCTCCTCACTCTAAATCAGTGTTTATGAAAGATTGTTCTGAAGTAACCCTCTGCAAGTCAGTGCCTGCTAAATCACTTGAATGTGTTGAGAGCAGTGTTCTCCCACCTGATTTAGTCCCACTAACAAATACAGTAACACAACAGAAATAAATCCAGACTTATTAGCAAGATCATTCAAATATAGTAACAGTAACCTATTACCTCTTTTTATCTTTCCTGATACAGCATTTTTGCCTTCCTTTCCAAAAGATACATAACAGGATGCTGATGCAAATAACACCACCGAGTCAGGCAAAAATTCTAGTTCAGCACAGTTGACTTCAAGAACATACCATAGCAATGGGTAAGTAGAACTGTATGGGATAACAAAACTGTTATCTGAAGTGAAGTATCAGTAGCTAATCTAGACTCCAAATATTAGGCAAGGTTATACTGTGCATAGTCACATAATGTTGGTATGAACATAGAAGGAAAAACAAATTTTAGCAGAAAAGGTATTGATGCTTGATACAACTGGTTGAACTGTTATGAGATTTTTGCCTCAAGGCCAACTGCAATCCTAATAAGTGGAACTGTTTCAAGCATGGTGGCAGTATCTTTTGGTTCAGAAGTTGTCATTTCTGGCTGTAGTATGGGATTTCATTGCTATATTCTGCAATCACAATTGCCGCTGATGAAGTGCGCTGTTTACTTGTCTGAATAATCTACTGGTCATCATTGACTGAACAGGATGCATTCCAAGCAAGCAGAGCGAGACTAGACTGCATAGCTATCAGTCTGCTTACAGTGCAAGAGAAAGAAAAGCTGCTGTTCAGAGAGAAAACAATCCTTTTCAGCAATGAGTATAGCAAATGTCATTCATTGCTGAAGTACTGAATTACCAGAGCTGCTGCTATGTAGTGGCATGTACAGGGTGCAGCTTCTGTAAGATGGTAAGTTGTGACACGCTTATCGCTGGGCAGCAGCAGCTTCATGAACATACCACAAAAAGCACGAATGCTGTTGTGTGCAGCTTGTATAAGTAGTCAGTTAGTCTATCTTATTTCCAGCAAATTAATTATCTGATCGACAGATGGAATTTGTAACATATAGTGGCCAGCTCTGGAGGTTTGTCACAGAAATGTGCTGTTTATCAGCTATAGAACTGGCACCAACATTGCTTTTCTCCTCCGTGACTAGTTCAAGACACAGAAACTTGATACAGACTGGCTATTTTAAATATGGTAGCCTATAACAGAAGTCGCTATTTCTGCAATACACAAACAACTCCAGAGTACGTAGGTAGAGTGGCGAGTCCCCCAGTCACTGCCTGTGAAAAGGCCCGTCAGTGCTGCCTAGCTGTGGCTCAGACCAGTACAAGCAGATAATCACCAGAAACCACTTGTGTGCAGATGCCTATTTTGCGGTCCAAGCTTAAAAATGCCTATGCAGTATGCATCCCCATAAGCAGCAACTGATGAAAAGCTAAAGGGCGGTAACTTGGCACTGTGTGCAGCTGCTGCTTCTAGGTCGCAGGCCATGCAGCTCAGAGCGCTTACTGCAGGATCCCACCCAGAAATGCAAATGCTTGCATTTCCCGTAAAGGACACAGGAATTGGACCAAAGCACGTTGAGCCACAGAGCGAGGAAATGATGGAGTGGAAGACAGTGGGTAGAAATGACAGTAGGATGGGGGATGCGGAGAGCGGAAGAATACTTGTAGGTGTTTAAAAGGGAACGGTGAAGCCAGGAGCCTAGAGCCGATTGGGGATTGAGGAGACAGGAAAGCAGGGCTGAGTGTGGGCTTCTACTTGGGATTGTAGTTCAAGGCTGTTCTGTTTCAGAGGATCGAAAAGTTCAACAATACTGAGTAATTGAGAACCTTATAATACTAATGTTGTCTGTGGTTTGCTGTTGCCTCTTGAAAGATGAAGTCTTGCAATTCATTATCTCAAATGTCTCGAGTTTGAGAGACAAGAACATGAACTTAATAATTTTTAATGAGTTCCATGGTCTTACATGAAGAACTATAATAAAAAATAAAGTGAAATTGACTTCACCTTTTGGCTACTGCAGCAGCTGTTGAGTAAAATTTTCTATTGTAATAATATTCCACAAGATGGCCTTGAGCATAGATGTTTCCACGTTCCGCTGCTTCTCTCAAACACTCCAAAGCAGCCTTAGTGTTTTGACATATACCTTGTCCGTAGAGATACATAACACCAAGTGCACCCTGCGATTCCAGGTTTCCATTGCCACATGCTTCTGAATGCCAGAAAAAGGCCTAAACAAGAGGCACAAAGTTGGAGTATATATTCACTTCAGCTGCTTTTCTTGCATACTGTTTCCATAAAAGCTTTTGCATTAACCAGCTTACACATAAACCAAAGTAGAATCCTTGTAAGGCTTTTAAACTTGCTTCATTTACTGTCAGAGCTGTCAATCAGTGACACCTGCTTGATTTCTGATGGGTACCAAGGCTGCCAAAACTTTAATCCATAATATCCTTCTCCCTCATGTTCCCAATTAAAAAAAAAAATCTCAGCTAGCAGTGTCAGGTGAGTCAAAATGAGGGATTCTGGCCATCTGGCTTAAATGGATGATAATGCCTAGCAGTACTTAAAATACACTTGTCAGAGTCAAATATATCACTGTACTCTTTCTGTGAAATTAAAAATTAATTGGGACTCATGAAACTCAAAAGGTACAAGTGGGCTTTACCTTCTTCAGATCTTTTAGAACTGATGCAGAATAAAGCATTCCTAAAGTATTCTGGGCCTTCACGCTTGCTTTTGGGTTCCCATGGTCTGCAGCAATAAGCCACAGCCTAAGGAAATGGGGACAAAGAAAGTTTAAGTAACACAGCATCTTATACTCATCAGGAAAATTACTGACTGCCGTTACCTTTCAGCCTCTTTAGTTGACTGCTTAACACCATATCCTTCATAATACGCTCTGCCAAGATTGTATGCAGCCGCAAACTTCAAGTGCCTTGCTTTTGGGGAATCGGAGTCGAGTATTTTCTTCATGTATTCCACTCCCTTTTCCTAAAATTGAGATATTTTAATTATTACATTCAGGCTGGGAAGAGGGTGAAATAACCTAAGAATCCACTAACTTCTGCAAGACAGGCAATTTTTCCACTTTGAAGAAAGGCTGAGGCATACTGGTAGGACAGTCTGGAGAACAGTGTCATACCAAAGCAGAACTGATCTTTGGTTTCCAGACAGCCCCTACGTTTTTGACTCCAGCATATTTTTAATGTGAAACACTTCCTTATAAGTGTTCATCTGCTATTATATTACTCTTCTTCATTAATAACAATTTTCTCAAAAATAGTCTTGTGCTTACATAAATGAGTGTCACATCCTAAACTTGCTACATTTTCAATTTTAGACTTCTGTAATCTTTTCATATTGCATGATGTATCTGAACTCATAAAACAACCTTAACAGAAGGCAAAGTGATACAATAGCATGCTCTGAAGTTCCCCCATTAAAAATACCTTAGCTTCGTAATGGACAAGAAATTATAATGTTAAATAAGCAAATGGAGAACACTGCATATGAGCAGCTGTATGGTGCATCATCCAAGGACCTCATGAGTATTTTGGAAACAAGATTTACACTGTTAGGATTTAGCATGGACACCCAGTTTAAATACACTAGAAATAGTCCTTTATAAAAGGTTCCTCTTTTATTCACCTCTCATATTGTAATACACAAAAAAGAAAGAAACTTTACTAAAATGCAAGTAAACCAATGAGGTAACTATACAGGCATACAGAACAAACAAACCACCTCTTAAAAACCAGCAGAATATTTTCTGCTCTACTGACAATCCTCTAAGCACCAGACAAGAATCTGATTTGTTAATGCACTGTTTGGTTCATCTTCTTGCCTTCCTGTCTTGTTATCTACCCTTTCTTTCATCCTCTTTGTATTCCTTCCTCATACTATTCTTTAGGATCACATTCTCCAATAAATTAACTCTCCTCATTCATTCGTTTTCCTTTTTGTAATGTAATTCTTCTATTTGAATTTCTCAAATTCTTGCAAATGTCATTCTTCATTTGTCTAATTTAAAAATACTACTGCCAACCACTGGCAGAAGCACAATCTTCTTTAGCATCCATGTTAAGAGAATAGAAAGTACCTTAAAAAACATCTTTGTGCAACAAACGTTTAACACTTTCAAATATAGTTGGTTGATTTCCATTTATACACATTTTATTTTCATTTATATACACTGCTTATTAAAAAGTAATAAATTAATAGCCATTTTTAAACATTGCTTCCACACAAAGTACAAACCTGTAGAAGTTGTATTTTAAAATACAAATTATCATATTTTTCAGACAAACCTATTTTATTATAGCTATTTTTGAAAACTTCTTCAGCTCAGAACCCTCCCTCTTTAATGATGCTTTGTAAACATCTGTACTTATGAAACTAATTCTAAATCAAAGACCTGTTTATTTTAAAGTAAATAATCAAGCTTACAAAGATGGTCTTGGTAATTATCAGCTAATATTAAAAGAAAAGTAAAATGTGTACAGCTAGATTACTCACAGGATCTTCTTTAGTGCCTAGTCCATCATAATGCATTACACCAAGCTGATATATTGCTTGAAAATCCATATCCTTGATGTTTTCAAATTGTGTTAATGCTTCTTCATACAACCCCTGGGAAAGACAGAAAAAACAATTAAATACACAGAACAAAGAGTACGTATGGCAGCTTAACTCTCCAGTATATGCTCTCTTGCAATTTTTCAACCTGGAGCACTTCCCTCATGCACAAAGAACAAAAAATTGCAACCACAGAAGTGGCAGAAAACAGAAATAGAGTAAGTCAACAACCACAAGAAAGTCAGACAGGATGGAAGCACTTAGGATTTTCAAACAAGTTTTCATTGTTTTTATATATATTAAAAAAAAAAAAAACAACATGAGTAGTGGTATACAAACACCATCTCTGAAACCAAACGATGTTTTGACAACATTTCTTCCCCTCCCCCCAAATGCCATCTTTTTAATTTGATATTGGAGTCTAATTCAGATGCCCTGTCCTATCTATCTGACATCCCTTAACTTAGGTGAGCTATTCTTAAACCTTGAGGGTTTAAGTCTGCTTTTACATCTCAGCTAAGGGTTGGTTTCACAAAGACTAACTCAGGTGCCTGAAGACTTTATAGACCCACCTGTCTGCCCCGCTTTTCTTATGAAGGCATCACTTGCAACAGCAGAGATACTTTCACTTCTGAGAAGGAATCTTAGAGAGCATTTGCTTCTGCATTAAGTCAAAGAAACTCTATTTAAAAATATACAGTTGAACAACTGTAATGTAACAGTTAACTGCATCTGGTGTCCTTACTAAAATATTTTTATGCATGCATATCAGCATACTAAGTAAAAACAGTATTGAAATTAAAATTGTGTTCTCTATGCTTTTCTTCAAATTTTCTGTATGTTTTGATAAAACAATACCAGACTGCAAAAACTTAGAACTGAGCAATAGTTTGACAGGCAGTCAAACATCCTCACAATGACAAAATGCCCTTTGTTAATACTGTCCAAACTATTAATTGTCTAAACTACTAATTGTTTTAGGAGCTTAGCTATTATGACTGTGTGGGCTTTGTTTTTTTGAAGAACTCTGGACAAAAAAAAACAGTGCCTTTTTACAACCAGCTGTCATTGAGTATCAGAAAAAGAAGTAGGGGAGGCACCTGTACTCTCACCTTTCCTGAGAATGTAGTGCTATGAGAAGCAGTCATATGGCTCTGATCAGGCAGTGATTTTTTCTAACATCTGAAATCGCAGTACTATGAGAACATGCATTTTTAGGCACTACAGATGTATGTCCAAAAATCTGGAAATTAAAACCTGCTCAAAGAATAAATTCAGGGATGGACAGCAATATATAACATGGACATCCGAGCCAGCTCATCAAGAAACAGACAGGTCTTCTGCTCCATGGGGCCAGTCTTCATCATGCCAAAATCAGGCCATGCATTAACGAAAACATTGAGAAGGACAGGGCCCAGAAAATAGAAACCCCGAGTGAGTTAATTCCGTTCCTGCTGCAAACCCTGAGACTGATTTACACTGTGCCAGTAGCTGCACTATAAACAGTACTGAATCCATGCACGTCACGTTTGAAAATACGTGAATCAGTACTTGTGCTACATTCTTGTCCATCTTCCTGAACGGAGTTATTCTAATTTTCCTAAGAAACTGAAGTTTAAGTTCACCTGCTAGCCAGCCGTACACTGTTCCCTGAGCATTTACTTTCAAATACGCGGGCGACCAATTTCAGCCGAAGTGGGCAGGGACAGGAATCTCAAAGATAACATATTTCAACAAGTTTCATCAAAACTGTTGGCTAGGTAGGGAACAAAGATCAAAAGCTGTGTCTTGGGTCAGGAACCCGTACCACGTAACTGAAAACAGCGTGGTGTGTTAGGCCAGTCAGCAGGCCAAAAACCAACTCGGCTTGGAAGTTAGCTGTAGGGGTAGGCTGCCGCTTACTTATCTGGTCCTTCGCAGACCTGAGAGGGAACTGGAAGACACCGCTAAATGCCTGGGGTACGTGTAGGAAAAGCATATTTAGGGGGAACACCTGGTGATTTTCATGGGAAGAAACAGGCATAGGCATCTCTTGCAGTTTCTTTAAGGTGTCTCTGCACTGCAGAAAATTGAAAATTGTCAGCTTTCTAACATTTACTTAAAAGAAGGAAACCACAACCTCTTCGTAGTACAGTTGTCCTTTCAGAAAACGTGCCAGAGGATCTCCACCTGCCGTTCTCTTCGCCAACAGCTCCTCTGCTTTTGCAAATAAAGCAGCACGGCTGCAGTTCTCTGCTTAAAAATAGACATACATTTGGGTTTTTTTCCCAAAACAGACGGAACAGCATCAATAAGCACACTAAAGGTCTGAAGCTCGCGGTGCCCCCTTTTTATTACCTTTTCTACAAGACCAAGGTGAAAGAGAGGGCTAGTTTCTAAAATAGAAAAGTTCAGTGAAGACAACCTGACCCTTGCGAACGTGAAGTTTGCCAGGGAAGAGCTTAAAAGCCGACCTGAACAAAAGCGGGGCCCTCACATCACAAAATACCTTTCAGTGCCCGCCGGGAAGCAGCGGGGCTGGGGGAGCTCACC